CACACACACACACACACACACACACACACACACATACAGGCATACAGGCATATCACACACACACACACACACATACACAGGCATATCACACACACACACACACACACAGGCATATCACACACACACACATACATAGCACACACACACATACATACACAGGCATAGCACACATATACATAGCACACATACACGCATAGCACACACACACACACGCATAGCACATACACACGAATAGCACACACGCACACACAGAAACACACGCGTATCACAACATGCACAGACATGCATAGCACACACACACAAACACACGCATAGCACACACACACACGCATAGCACATACATGCATAGACATGCATAGCACACGCACACACACACATGCATAGCACACACACACACGCGCATAGCATGGCACACACAGAAGAACACACATAATATAATATATATAGATATACGCATTTAATGTAAATTCCTTGTTAAATGGATATACACAATATAGCTACAGTCGAGCTAACTAAACGTGCGGCGGCTTTAATTGCGGGTTGTGGGAGCGAGCCATCTTCGCCTTGAGCCACTCGTCCGCATGCCGTTGCTTGATGTGGACATACATATTGGAACGGCTGCGGCACTCCTTGGGGCAATGGGGGCAATTGTAGAGCTGCAGGCCGGTATGGATGGCCATGTGCTCCTCCAGGTTGCGCTGCTGCTTGAAGCTCTTCTCGCAGTACGTGCACTGCAGATTTGTGGTCAGCTTGTGGGCGTATTTGATGTGGGCGCGCAGCGCTGTCCGGGAGCTGCACGTCTTGGAGCAGTGCTTGCATGTGGTGTCGGTGCTGTCGTGCGTGAACCGATGCAGCCGCAGGCTGTGCTCGTTCTTCAGCCAGACACCGCAGACGGGGCACTCCATGGCCGGCGCCACGAATCCCTGGTGCTCCTGCAGATGCCGTTCGAAGGATGGCTTAAACTTGAACTTTTTGCCGCATATATCACAGACATGCGGATGCAGGTCTTCGTGTATGGACTGTATATGCCGTCGCAATCTGTGCACATTCGCAAAGCTGCGAGAGCGAGAGAGAGAGAGAGAAAGAGAGAGAGAAAATAGCACGAAAGAGAGAGAGAGAGGGTGCATGTGGTAGAGCGAGAGGTAAAATCTTATCGTATTGTGCACTCACCTCTTGTGGCATATGTGACAGCTGTGCTCCAACTGGTCCGTGTCGTGCTTGAGCAGATGATTCCCGAGACGCCGCTCGCTGCTGAAGGTGCGCTCACACTTCGGGCACGGATACTTCAGCACTTTGCCAATCTGGGCCACTTTGTTGTGCACCGTCTCAATGTGCGTGGCCAGGTAGTCCTGTGAGTTGAGCGACTTATTGCATATGGAACAGCTGCAGGAGTAAATTGGCTATTAATGACTATTGACGCCACAACCGAAGTGAATCGAGCATTACGTGAAGAGCTTGGGATTGAGGTGTTTGCGTATGTGATCCATTAGCTTGGAGGCCCGATTGAACACCTTGTTGCAGCACTTCAAATACGCGTCGCGCTGATGTGCCTCCAGGAAGTGGACCTTAAGCTGGGACAGGTACTTGGTGCTGTAGTCGCACAGGTCACAGTCGGCGCTCATATAGCTGGCGATCGCCTCCTCGTAGCGCTTCGTCAGCTGAGCGCGCGAGCAGCCCTTCGGCTTGCGCTCGAGTGCCGCCTGCAGTTCGTTCTCTTGCGCATCGGTTGGCTCACTGTTTGCTGATTTTTTCCGTCGCGCTCTGCTGCCATCGATTCCACTATCATCCAGCAACTGATCCAGCTCCTGGGCTAGCGTGAGTGTTCGCTTGTTGTTGCGCCTCGTTATGACGCGTTGGGCTCTGCGCTTCGGCTTGAGTTTGTGCTGCAGCTTGACCAGGGGCACTTCGTCTGCAAGTTGCATGCAAGCCATATTGAGTTGTTGAATTTACTATTATTTCTTCATTTTCGGCGGTCGTTACTCACCATCATCGTCATCGGTGGATGCATTTCGCACGCTTTCGCTGCTTTCATGCATCACAGGCTTCTCATCCGTGGCGTGTGTTTGATTGTCGTTGCTGCCGTTGGCATCGTCATCGCCATCGCCATCGCTGAGATCTGTGGCGTGCAGCTGTAAAAACTTCTCCGACTGGAACTGCTCTTGTTTTGGGTCAGACGCAAGTGGCGGCAACTCCACGGTGTCCACATTAATATCGAGTACACTGCCAAGCAGCTTCAGATTGTGTATGTCCAATGGCTTCTCGTCCATCTCGTCGGCGACCAGTGGGAACTCATCAATGTTGACATCGACATCGATGCCCGTCCATTTGAGGGCGACACAGTCGACGTCCACGTTCAGGAACTCCTTTTTAAGTGTCCCCTGTTTCTGCTCCACCAGCTGCCAGAAGTTGTTGAAGTCCTCCAAATGCTCGCAGCATTCATGACAGATGCTCGTCGAGATGTTGTCATCGGGTAATATCTGCAATGCATGGACAAACCCCGATTCATTTCATTGCTTAATTGGCACGGTGAAAACTCACCTCGAGCTGCAGAAACTTGGCTATCATCTTGAGCAGGGAGGACTCGGCTAGGGTGTCGCTGGTTTCGAACAGATAGACGGCATTGTTTGCGTTTATGTTTTTTAAACACAAGCGACAGATCATATTGCGGCGTTTTCAACATAAATTTAACCAATTAATGTATTATCAATTGTTTGGTTTTGATTTAGCGATGGCCTCTTCAGATATCAACTTATCGACTTGCTAAATTGGCACCACATCGATGCGCGAAAACCATTCAGTGGTGGACTTTTCAAAAGTGACAAGTATTTGGCTAATGTTTTGCTAGGTATCTAATCAAGGTATATCTAAAAAAATCTACAGTGTTGTTTGATATGTTCATTATTAATACAACTAGATAAATACATAATTTATAGACATTAATTTTGTATCGCAGCGCATTAAATGAGTTCTCGATAACGAACTTGCGGCACAATCGTGCGGTATCGATAATTATTTGAGAAAAACAAAAGACAAATGTGTACACAATCGATTAAAAGTAATTGAATTGCAGTATTTTTATTTTGGCGCGATATGCTTGATTTCAAAATTTGTATTGCATGTAGTTTTGCTTTTTGTATTGGGAATATCAATCGTATCGTTCCCTCAACGATGTTCACTAAAAGGGAATCCCACGAATAATTCAGTCATTCTGCAGTTTTAACTGCTATTCAACATTTTTTGGATTATGAGGAATCGAGTATCAGCCTTTTCTGTTCTTATTTTGGTTTCTACGCATACGAATTGCATGCATCAGCAATATATATTTGCGATTTTTTATGCACAAAGAAAAAAGTATAGTAATTTTATATTTCTTGTTTATTTGGACATCCCTTGGGTACGGCAAATAAAACGAAGGAGTACTGAATGCAAGGGATAATCCTAAGGCGAAATGAATATCAATAAGAACATAGTTTCTTATGATGTTGCCAACAAATCTATGGAGCAGTTACTACAGCCACTAATCATACAACACATTGACACAGAGTATAAATTTTGTTTGCATACTAAAATCTAAGCATTTGCTCGGGAACTTACTTTTAAGTTCGGGCTACGATAATATGGCAAAGCACAAACATTTGTGTTGTTAATACTAGAGCATAGGCACTAATGTATCGATTCTTTTTTGCAATGCTCGAACCAATCAACATTGATGCTTGTATAGCGAATGCAACAACCCAGTTGTTATACTGATTTTCATTGGCTAAGCGCGAAACCGACTGTTATATTAAATGCAAATAAAAAAATTTATGGTATGGCAACGCTGTCAATTTTAATCAATATTTTAAAATTAAAATTAAATTAAACATATATGTAATATTTTATAAATGATTACCAGTTAAAGCAAACAGCTGTAGCGTGGCCTTCAGTTAAAGCAAATACAAATCTAATAGGCGAGGGAAGAGACATACAGAGTTAAAAAAAAAACAATGGTATGCTTAATTCTTTAAATTGAATATATATTTTGAAAGAATAACTTATTTCCAACAGCTAAAGAATAATAACTACAATAATTATAACAATAATAAAAGAGCGAGTGTCAATTTACGATATATTGTGCTTCCATGGATATCAGCGATCGGTGTTATCGATATATCGATGCTGCTGGCAAAATCCAATTTCCACACAATGACTAGCGGCAGCAGCCATGTTCTTGCATCAGATAGTTAGGAGCAATAGGCAAGAACAGTTATACATTTTTTATAATCTTAATTTTAATTTGTACACCCTCCTTGTGTTACCCACAAAAACATATATACACACACACACACTAGGGCACATTATTTATTACGAAGTCAATAAGTCGAAATTGCTATATTTTCCGCAGTTTTTGTTGTTTAAACCTAGTTTCTGCTGAAAGCTAAAGCGACCATAAAATCGAAAATGAATAGGGAATAATTTTGTCATCATATTCTAGTTTATTTTGCGCGGTACAGTCTGAAATCAATTGGTAAGTTGTCAAGCTTCTGCACTGCAGACACACACGCGCGCATACATCACGCGATGTACAAGTGTGTGTGTGTGTGTGTGACTAGAAAATGGAGGACGACCTATTAATGAATTCAGCTTTGAATTACAGTTTCCTTAAAATCAAAAAGTGCAAACTGCAGTTATCTGCGAGTAAGTGCTAGAAATGGAATCATTAAAATGTCAACAGAAAGAGAAGACAGGATAGCGTCTCTTTCCCGCTCTTTGATTAAATGTGTGTGTGTGTGTATATGTGTGGAGGAGATGTTTCGTGGACACGTTGCAATTGAGTAATGTAGTATATATCAATCAATGTATTTTCTTTTGTTCTCTTGCAGTTAACTAAGATGGCCATCGGATGGGTAAAAAGTAAACTCTAGAGTTTAAGTTTTAAAAATCGGTTTAGGCGCGATCAGAATCGTGCCCAAACCGATTTTCGAAACAAAATTTAAAATTAAAAAAAAAAAAAAAAACTGTTAAACGTTATACGAGTTTTAAACGATCAATCAGAAAAAATTTATTTAAATTAAAATCGATCGTTTGAAAGGCGTATGTGTTCGACTCGGGTAGATAGACGTTATCCGCGCCGTAACACGAAATAGAGCGAGATAAAAAAAAAAAACAAACAAAATATAGAATAAATATATATATAAAAACAATCAATATGATTCAGAGTTGTGTAACGTTATACAAGCCGAAATGAAAAAAAAAAAACAACAACAAACTACTTTTAAAGGCATGTAAAATGTTGCAACAAAAAAAAAAAAAAAAAAAAAACAAATTGTAAATAAATAAAAAGGTAACGTTTTACGAGCCGAGAAAATAAATGTAAAATGTAGGAAATTGTAACGTTATACGCGCCTTAACAATAAAAAAATATATATTTATGTTTTTTACTAGAATATCACCTCTGTGTATTTATTTCTAACTTGTAAATGGGTGCGAAAGAGAGGTTGACACCAGCTTGAATTCCTTCTCTCTCACTTTAATGCTTTCGAGCGAGATCGATATATTGCTATCTCTTTCCCTTTCATGCAACGCGATGAGAGGGACTGAATATCTATATTAAATGTTATTGACAACTGTACTATAAGCGGCTGAAAACAAGCGTGATTGCGTTTAAATGCATAAAATATATTTTGAGCATCAATTTTAATGCTCCTTTGTTTTGAGCTTAAGTGGCCGCCATTTTGAAATCGTCCATTTTCAAAAAAAAACACGTTAAGCTGATTTTCTTCGTATCTAATAAGACGTGAAGTCGGCTGCACATTATTAATGACTCACGCATTTCGTGTCCCAACTATGCGTGCTTTCGGAACTCAGCGGAGACACCAACCAGTAAGGCATTAATGTCTAGGCGCAGAATCAGTTATGCTGTGGCGGTCAGACGATTCGAGTGCCGTCTCGATTATCTATAGACTTCTATCGATACTTCGTGTCGTGTAGCGCTGCCAGATGTTGCTTCTGCGTGAAAATCGCGTCGCGTCGCAATATTGTTGCAATTAACATTAAAAGTAATTAATAGTACACAAAAAATATCTAAAGTAATGCAGAAGAGTGTCAAATCGAACGGGCTCTGGGGCAGCGAGTAAAGGCCAACTGGAAATTGAGCTGCTGCGGCTGTTGTGTATGTGTTGTGAGTGTTTGTGTCTATGTATACAGATGTGTCTGCGTATGTGTGTTGCCTTGATTTTGTGTCATACGTGTGTATGAACTACATACTGTATGTATGTACACATAATTGTGTATAATTCTGTAGCTGTGTGCTGCAGCAAGTGCGTTGTATTTCCATTCCTTTTTGTTTGTCATTAACAAAAAACCAAATTTCAAGAAATCGGAAAAAGCCCGTAACATTTTGATTGAAAACGCACTGTGATCCAATTGGAACAGCAAGCACTGACGTACGTGCATATATGTATACATACATGCATGTATAAGTGTGTAAGTACATACATACACATAAGTAAAAATACACACATAGACGTGTTTTGTTAGGCTCCCAAAGAGTATTTGCGAGTGTATATATATATATGTATATATATATTTATATATATATGTATATATATATATATATATATATATAATATATGTTTGTATATGTGGCCTGTGGATTGTGTTGGGTCCATTGTGGCCTTTGCTGCTATGCAGCGTTGTAGTCTTGGACTCTTTTTGTTTTCTTCTTTTTTTGTGTATGGCGTGTTATTTTGCATTACTTGCATGGCATAAAAATAAATAGATTGCATATACGCATTGACAAAGAGAAATCAAAATAGATATAAAGGTTTAGACAGAACATCGCAATTCATACATCATAGTACATTACACAAAACTGGGTAAATAAAAGTAAAAAGAAAAGTGTTTCGAATGTTTGCCAAATGCGCTGCATAACAACAATAAGAGCAAAACAACAACAGCAGCTGCAACAACAGCAACAACATCACAGAAGCTAGCAGGTGCATAAACAAGAGCTCAGAACTAGTTCGATCTAATTGGAACTGCGCTGTTAGTTAACAGTGCTCTGTTGGCTGGCTCACATAAAATTTGCATTAACAGCTGTAATTGCATTATTTGCACAGCTGTTCGACCACACATACATACATACAGTCGTGTGAGTGCGCGCGCGTTTGTGTCTGTGGCTGTGCATAAAATTACATAAAATTAAACAAATTCATTATTCCCACGTGTGCGTGTGCATGAGCGTTTGTGCATTTGTGTGTATGCGAGTGCGTCCAATAACAATAACAAAAGCAACGCTTAAAAACAACCATTTGAGAGCAGGTGATTTGCCTCCAGCTCAGCTGCCCAGCAACAACAGAAGGTCAAGTGTCTATGTAATGGTTATGTTCTCTCTCTCACTCACTCTCTCTCTCTCTCTCTCGGGGTGTATGTGGCGAGTGTCTGTGTGTGTGTGTGTGTGTGTGCACCTGCTTATGTATGCACTGTAAATAACGTATTTAACATTTGATATGTATCTCAACTAGTGAAATATACGCAGTAACTGGCTAAATCCAAGAGGAAAACGCTACGCGCCTAGCTTAAAACGTGAAAAAAACCATCCGCTTGACAAGGCAAGGCAGGCAAGCAGGCAGGCAGCCCTACACGTAGCCAAAGGACTCAGCAGGCAATCACAATCCAAGGCTGCAATTCTTAACAGAAGCAAAAGGTAGAGCAAGAGCAAAAACCAAAACCAAAGCAAAATCACAAAACGCAAGAGGCAAAAGGCAAACGCAAAAGACAAACAAAACACACCCACAGCCATGGACTCGGATAACGATAATGATTTCTTGGACAACGTGGACTCGGGCAATGTCTCATCGGGCGATGATGGCGACGACGATTTCGCCATGGAGGTGGACTTGCCCAGCTCGACGGAGCGGCAATTGGAAACGGATGACTACCAATATAAGGTGCTAACCATAGATGAGATAGTGCTGTTCCAGCGCGAGACAATCGATGAAGTTAATCGAGTGGTAAAGGTAAGTTACACGCAAATGTTGAAATAAATTCCCTTCATCTCTATCTCTCTCTCTCTGTTTCGTTCGCTTGATTTGCATGTATGCATTTGCAGCTAATAGCAAACAAACAACAAATAGCAACATGATCCAATAAGACGCTAGCGTTGTTTATCGTTTGTCTGATAAGAAAGGGGCGCACCTCAAACAGTTAAGATAGCGCCAGCTGTCTGTGCGTGTGTGTGTGCGTGCGTGCGTTTGTATGTGTGCGTGCGTGCTTCATCTTAGCCAAATTGAAGGTCAGCACAGTTTGATGACATTTGCATTTGCATTAGCTGAAAGTGCCGTTGACTCGATATCACTTGTGTGCGCGTACAGTGAAAGTTCGCTTGAACGAACGCGTCTAGTTGAGTGGCATAGACTCTTTCATAAGAGATTTTGCAGGACTTGTGCCATTCAGCACTGTATCAGCACATTAACAGACTTTGCTCACATTAACAGACTCTGTCAAGGCCAAATGGTATCCAATCAGAGTTTTAATTAGAATTTCATTGTCAATCCAGTTGGATACTTAGCAGATATCATTTAGTTTGATATATAGATTTTTATATTCATACATATCTATAATTGACATAGCATTTTTGGCAATCCAATTGGATTCACTGCAATCCAGTTGGATAATTAACAGGTATCCTTGTTGCTTTACTGGGGTATAATTTTTCGTATAAATGCTGAACCTATTTTAAATGGAGAATCGTAATGGTCTTCTTTTCTTTTCAAATCTCTGTATATTCGGTCGTCAAGGGCAGTTAGTCAATATAATTTTTAATTGCCTCATTGTCAATCGAGTTATCCGTTTTGTCAAACATCTTTAATGTATATTTAGGTATCTTTAAATCAAGTCCTTGCGAAATATCTAAATCAGCTTTAATTAATCACAGTAGACGCCTGGTCAGAATAGACCTGTTGCAGTATATTATTAATGTGAATCATCTATATAAATTCATATTTACTAAATACGTTTGCATTGTGTTTCCGCAATGCGCTTTGCTTGCAGCTATCTGCGCACATAACACGAATACTGCTGAATCACTTTAAGTGGGACAAGGAGAAGCTGTTGGAGAAGTATTTCGATAGCAGTGACGATAATACGGAGTTCTTCAAGTGCGCGCATGTCATCAATCCGTTTAGCAAGCCACCCGAGGCAGTTCAGCAAAAGGTATGCATCACATGTACATATGTATTAATATATCTGCCTTGCTCTAAACTCATTCTCTCTCTCTCTCTTTGTTTTGCAGACTTCACGTAGCCAGTGTGAGGAGTGCGAGATTTGTTTCTCTCTGTTGCCGCCAGATGTGAGTGAACCGATTCATAGATATGAAATCATAATCAAATTTCAAATTTCATCATATTCGCATTTCCTTGCAGTCCATGACCGGCTTGGAGTGCGGTCATCGATTTTGTCTGAGCTGCTGGCGCGAGTATCTGACAACAAAAATCGTTACAGAGGGCCTGGGCCAGACGATATCGTGCGCCGCGCACGGCTGTGATATATTGGTGGATGATGTGACGGTCACCAAATTGGTGCCCGATGCGCGGGTGAGGGTCAAATACCAGCAGCTAATCACCAATAGCTTCGTCGAGTGCAATCAGCTGCTGCGCTGGTGTCCGTCCGTCGATTGCACCTATGCGGTGAAAGTGCCGTACGCAGAGTCACGTCGCGTCCATTGCAAATGCGGTCATGTGTTTTGTTTCGCCTGCGGCGAGAATTGGCACGATCCGGTGCAGTGCCGCTGGCTGAAGAAGTGGATCAAGAAGTGTGACGACGACTCGGAGACGTCCAACTGGATTGCGGCCAATACCAAAGAGTGTCCCAGATGCAGTGTCACCATCGAGAAGGATGGCGGCTGCAATCACATGGTCTGCAAGAATCAAAATTGCAAGCACGACTTTTGCTGGGTGTGCCTCGGCCCCTGGGAGCCGCACGGCTCGTCCTGGTACAATTGTAATCGCTACGACGAGGACGAGGCGAAGGCAGCGCGTGATGCACAGGAGAGGCTGCGCTCATCACTGGCCAGGTGCGAGACCTAACTGTCCAACTCCATTGATCTTCTCTCTGATACATATTCTATTTACCAAACTGCTAGATATTTACATTATTACAATCGCTACATGAACCACATGCAATCGATGAAGTTTGAGAACAAATTGTACGCATCGGTCAAGCAGAAAATGGAGGAAATGCAACAGCACAACATGTCCTGGATTGAGGTAGAGAATGTGCACGGCTAATTCCCACAATGTACACTCAAAGTAAATCTAATCTATCTATCCAATCTGATCCAGGTGCAATTCCTGAAGAAGGCTGTCGACATACTCTGCCAGTGTCGCCAGACCCTAATGTACACATACGTCTTTGCGTATTATTTGAAAAAGAACAATCAATCGCAGATATTTGAGGATAACCAGAAGGATTTGGAGTCGGCAACGGAGATGCTCTCCGAGTACTTGGAACGTGATATTACATCCGAAAATTTGGCTGATATTAAGCAGAAAGTACAGGATAAATATAGGTATGCTTGAGGCTTGATCAATTCAATATTGCATTATTATACATATATATTCGCACATATTTCAGATATTGTGAGAAGCGGTGCACAGTTCTGCTCAAGCATGTACATGAAGGTTATGAAAAGGACTGGTGGGATTACACAGAATGACGCGAGTCCTGGCTGGATAACTAAGGTGATGCATCAAGTCGAGTGTAACTAGCAATTGGCCCTAGTAGTAGAAGTAGCAACAGCAACAGCAACAGCAGCAGCAACAGCAGCAGCAACAGCAGCAGCAGCAAGAATTAACAGCCGTAACAACAACAAGGCAAACAGCAAAAGTTTAAACACAAAACAAAAACAAAATAACTGAAATATATATATATATAACAAAAAACAGAAAAGGCACAAGGAAATGTATGGCAAGGATGCAGATGCAGATCAAATTAAAAGAAAAAAAAGGAACAAAAATACAAAAAAATAGAAAATAAAAAAAGAAGCAGAAAACCCAAGCAAGAAAATAAATGCAAATGCCGCAAATTGTTGCATACAAAAAGTAAAATACAGATTAAGCGAAAAGTTATATTAAATCATACTATATAAAATATATATGCATATATACATTTTTTCTCTTCGTGTTGAGCAGCAACTACACACACACACACACACACACATACAGACAGACATGCAGATACATATTGAGAGTTGCTGTTTCCAATTAGAAAATGCATCGTGAATTATCAATGGAAAACAAAGCATCAATAAATCAACATAATTAAATGCAATAGAATAGACATATATATAAACACACACACACAGAATCACACATGCATACCTAAACACACACACAAACACACACACACACAACAGTTAAATATAGCAAGCAAGTTGTAATACACCCGAGTTTGTAAGCATTGCCCGACTTCCGCTACTCCTTCTATGTGGTATGTGCTATGTATGTAGTCTCTAGTGTACGATTAGCCATTTATATATATATATATATATATATATATAATTTTTTTTTTAACTAATGGAAAACAACTATTTTTGTTTGTTTATTGTTCAGCAGTGGCTTTTGTTGTTAGCATAAATACATAATAAATCTATCTGATAATCAAAAAAAAAAAAAAAAAAAAAGCAGGGACCGCAAGTAGGAGTTATAAATTAAAAAAAAAAAATAAGAATCACAAGTAGACAGCTATTTTTTTTCTACAGCAAATTTAAAAACAGTTTAAACTTTCATATTTTTATTTAAAAAAATTTTTTTTTCTATTAGGATCAATTTTTATGGTAGAAATGAAAAACAATCATTGCTCATTAGTTTTTTGTTATATAGATCAAATCATAAATTTTATTTTCTTATTTTATTAGAGAAATTGAAAATAAAATTTATAGCTTAAATTTAATTATAAAAATTGAAAATGAAAATTATTTACAGACGGAAAAGTGTCTCTTCCGCTTATTAAATCTGTCGCGGCTGGCACCTGAGCCCCATAGCCTCACGGGATTTATCATTGATTGTTATCTTCAATTTTTTTAATAGCTAAGTTATAAGTATTATTTTAATTTTTTATAATACAAATTATGCTTTGTTTTATTTATAAAAAAATGATGAGTAGTAATTATTTTTCACTTCTCTCATATTAATTAATATTAATAATTTGATAACTCAATGAATAATTATTATTACTTAATTCTTATGATCGTTTCGGTCCCTGCAAAAAACGTAGCATATTTCTTTTTGTTTTTGTTTCAATTACTTTATGCATATATCATCTATAAATGAATGCATGCACACATATGTGCTTATATACATGTACATATGTGTGTGTGTGTGTTCGCCTCTATCACAAACTATGCTGTCCATTATTATTTGATTAAGCTTAACCGGGTTGATTTGTGGGCGGTGCGAATTGCAGTATGTAGCAGTAAATCAATATTATTATGTGTAAATTCAATATGTAATAAACCGAATCCAAGTTGTACATGTTAAATAATCATCTGGTAGTCACACACACACACACACACGCACACCCGGGCCCACACATACACATGAACAAACACACACACACACACTTCCCGTTCAGCTCTGGCTCATTCTTCTCACACACACACACACACTCTGACTATCTCTCTCGCCCTCTCTTTCTCTATTCTTCATTTTTACACTGTACGCCGGAGAGCTGCCTCCTAATCCACATGCCGTGTTCCGAGAACCAAATCTTAAATCGTTGTACATATAGCTGAAATTGTTCAAGGTTTCTCCTTAGGCTGCGCCTGCTTCAAGAGCCGTTCGCCATGGCCATGCGTCTGCGCTCTTCTCTCCGTTTCTCAATTCTAAATATATATAGACGTATATGTATATGTATATGTATGTACCACTATATATATGTGCTACCAATAATATGTATAACACAAGCAGAACTCATTGAAATGCTGTAAAAAGTTTAAAGTTGTTCGAGTCGAAATAAAAGAAATTACAAAAAATTAAAAAAAAAAAAACAAAAAACAAAAAAAATAACTATGAAAAGAAAAAAAAAAAGACAAAAATGCTGTAAAAATTATGAGAACTATGTATGTATAATTAATTAATGATGAAATGTTGCGAAAAATTAGTGAAAATAAAAATAAAATTACAAAAAACAATTTGATTTATTTTTTAAAAGATACAGATACAGATACAGATACACATACACATACAGATACAGATACAGATAGAGATACAGATGCAGATACAGATACAGATACAGATACAGATACAGATACAGATACA